GCTTAGGCAGGGGTCATTCATTCTCACCTCACGTGGTGACGGTTGGTCTTTGTGACATCTGAACCCAGAGACAGCCTGTAACCTCTGTCCATTGGCTCCAACCAGGAATCAGTCACAGCAAAAATGACACCTGCCATTGGCTGTAGCTCAATTATATGAATCTGTTCTATCCCCACACGTGTTGGGTCTTAGCCTGCTCAGGCCGCTCTAACAAGTTACCACAACACAGGTGCTGAAGCAGGGCACATATTTCCCACTGTGGAGGCTAGGAAGCCCAAGACCAAGGTGCCAGGAGAATTAGTTCTGGGGAACGCCCTCTCTGGCTCTGCAGATGGCTAACCTCTTATTGCCTCCTCACAAGCGCAGAGCAGGTGCACCACCATCTCTCCTTAGAACAGCACTAACCCCACTCCGGGGGCTCCACCCTCAGCTCCTCATTACCTGCCCAATCCCAGCTCCAGATGCCATCACATGGGGTACCAGAGGTTGCACAAATGAAATTCAGGGGACCTAAAACCTGCAGTCCATGACAATCCTGTAAAGGTGGCTGTGGCGTTCCTCACGACTGCAACCTCAGGGTCACTCCAGGGAACTAAGCTGCACGAAATAATCACACAAGAGACAGAGATACCTGTGACGTCCTGTGACGGCTCCTCTGACCTTAGGGGTCTGCAGAAAAGAGAGAAAGCGCATGCTGACCCCTTTTATTGAGGAGAAGCCATTCAAATGAGGCAAGGGGTCAGGTTTCAGGGGGCTGAGTCTAGCTTTGTGATGTCTGCTGTCAGCAGGTTGACTGACATCTAGGAAGGCCACACCAAGGGCATATCAAGAGAAGGGGACACACAAAGGGCATTTTTATGGAAAACAGGGCAAGTGGTAATATGACAAAGGAATGAGTGAATGTAGCTCAACCATGGGGTAACTCACCTACATCTGAAGACTCGTCCTCAAACTTCCAGGACGGGAGCAATGTCCAGGTCAATACGAGATGTAGTGACGGTCAAAGCCTCGCTCTCTTCTCCAGGAAGGAGAACGTTAATCATTCAGAGTGGCTCCCCACATCTGTGTTTTGAGATGAGAAACTGAAGCTCAGGCAGGAGGTGAGAACAGGTAAATCCCTTGAGTCAACCAGCGCTGGTGGGCACCAGGAGCTGGAGAGGGGAGGGTGGAGGTGGCTGCCTCATGGGTATGGGATTTCCTTTGGGGGTAAAGATGCACTTCTAGAAATGGGGAGTGGGGATGGTCACACAGGTCACCCAGGGGGTAAATGAAGGAACCAGAATTTGCACCTGGGTCTGAGTCTGATCCTACACATCCCCTTCTGGGTGTCATCAGAAATTAAACTCAGCCCCTCGTTGGATTTCTCCATATGAAGGGAAATCCATTCACATCAAACATTCCTGAGAGCGGGGTGGGGTGGCGCCCGCCTGTAATCCCAGCAGCTTGGGAGGTTGAGGCAGGAGAATCGCAAGTTCAAAGCCAGCCTCAGCAACTGGGAGGCGCTAAGCAACTCAGTGAGTCCCTGTCTCTAAATGAAATCCAAAATAGGGCTGGGGATGTGGTCAGTGGAAACCCCTGAGTTCAATCCCCGGTACCAAAATAAATAAATAATTAAAAATTTAAATAATTTTTTAAAAAATTCCTGCGAAGAGTCGATCTACTGAAGACTTGGTTCATCAGGGAGACGGAGGAGAAATTTACAGCACAGAAATGGCAGCGTCTGCAGAATACGCGTCGCTGTTTAAGACGTCTGGAGATGCCCCACCACTCCACTCCTGCGGGCATACATCCTCATTCTTCTCATTCCCCTTTCTCCCCGTTCTATCAGCATCTCACTTTCAGCTGTCAGTCTTTTTTGGCTGACCAATCAGAGACTCAGAAATAGGTCCGTAACTGAGTCTGGCCAATGAGCGCTCTGGAGGGTGGCGCCCTTTCTGGTCCATGAGTTCCTAGCGGTTCAGCCTAGGGATGCTTCGGCCTTTGACGTGGGCAGCTGGGGGTTGTTTAAACGGAAAGGAAAGACAGCCCAGCCAAGAGCGCTGGACCTGTTTATCCAGGCCAGCTGTGCCGGTAGTGATGACAATCTCGGGACCTTCCTGCCTCTCAATTTTTTTTTTTTTTCATTTTTATTGAGACATTACTCACATGCCACGAATTCGCCCTTCTAAAGTGTACAGTTCAGTGGCTTCTTTTGCATATTTGTGAAGAAGAACATCTTAATCTCCTAAAAAAGATCCCATGCTGACCTGTCCCTCCTGTTGTCCCTCCCCCACCCCTTGCAGGTCGGGGCACCCATCGGCTTTACCTCTCCCTGGCCTGTCTCCTCTGCTGTTTCCTCTCGGTGGACTCATCCATTACCTGACCTTTCGTGTCTGGTTTCTTTCACGTTGACGTTTTTAAGTTTCCTCCCGTTGCAGCATGAGCCAGGGCTAGATTCTTGGTTTGTGACTGAATAAGATTTCTTTGTGTAACCAGACTTTGTTTTCTTCAATCGCCCAACATTTGATGGACGGTTGAGGGGCTTTCACTAATTAGCTGGGATGAGTAATGCTGCTGCGAACATCCTCGGCAGGTTTTTGTGCGGATCCACTCTGATTCTTTGGGGTATACACCTAGGAGTGGAACTGCTGGGTCCTGTGATAGCTCTGTTTAGCTTTCTGAGAATCCACCCAACTGTTTCCTCAGTGTTTGCACCATTTTATATTAATCTCTAGATTAATCTTTAGATTGAGCTGTGTTTTGTATTTTTCAACAGTAAACATTTTTGCTCGTTTGCTTCTGTTTTGAGCCAAGCACTTCTCTATGTGGTCCAAGCCAGTGTCCAGCCAGGGAGTCAAGCAGCCCTCCTGCCTCAGCCAGCCGGGCAGCTGAACTGCAGCGTACATGGCCAAGCTGGCTCCACAGGAAGACCTTCAGCTAACATGCTGTCCCTTGCAGGAGCAAAACAATGAATCATTTTTTGCCCTTATGTAACGAACAGCCTTTCCCCTTTCTTGAACCCAGTGCTCATCCTTCTCTCCAACCCACCTAACAAGACACTTTTCCATCCCACACAGCGTCCTTAACACCAATCCCAAGGCCAGTCACTACAGCACGAAGAACTCTGACCCCCTGAAGTTCCTCTCCACGTATTGATACAGTGCAAGACTCTACGATCCACCTGTGGCATTTTCATAATCAGAAGCTCACATTTTCTTGGTGAGGAAAAACTTCCCAGGACACATTTCCAGCATTTCCTGGCTCTCATGAACACAGCGTCGCTCTTTCTTTCCTGCCCTCTGTCTTTAGGCTGTGATAGCCCTGAAGGCAGGGACGGAGACGGATTCATTCGCGGGTTTCCAGGAATGGCACTGAGTCCAGACGTGGGTCCACAGATTGCTGGTTCTCTTCCTCCCAGGAGGAGGGAGGCTTTCATGAACAGGGATGCAGGAGACCCACAGGGCTGAATCAGCTTCCTCCACTCTCCTTTCTGAATTCCTAGACATTCGATTTTCCTGCTGCCATGGTGACGTGGAAGGAGTGTGGGTGACTTCATTGAGGAAGCTCAGACCAAACCTACAGAGAACCTGGTCTTCTGCCCACTGCCGTGGACTCTGGCTGCTGGTCCCCTATCCCTCAGACCCACCGCTGCCCCTCCATCCCTGAGCCCTGGCTCCAGCTTCTCACTCTCCCGGCCCCAAGCATCCTTCCTTTGGTCCATGTCAGCAGCCATGACGGAATCTCCTTAACCCAGATCTGACTTCCCCACCTCTGCTCAAAACCAGTCCACACCATCCAGTGGAATATGACTATCCAGTCCCCAAAAGAAGCCAGACAGTTACACGCCACCAGAGGGGAGAAACTTGTAAACCTCATTCTATGAGAAAGAATCCAAATGCAATGGTCCATCCGAAGGCTCCAGAGTAGCTGGGCATGGGGTCACGGGCCTGGAACCCCAGCAACCCAAGAGGCTGAGGCAGGATGGCCAGCCCAAGGCCAGCCTGGTGACTTAGTAATTTAAGGAGGCCTTATCTCAGAGCAAAAAGTAAAAAGGGCAGGGGATGTGGCTTCGTGGTTGAGCACTGCTGGGTTCAATTCCTGAGAAAAAGAGAAAGAAAGAAAGGAAGGGAGGGAGGGGGGGGGGTGGATCCAGAATAGGTAAATCCCTAGAGTCAGCAAGGAGATGGTGGGAGCCAGGAGCTGGAGGGGGAGGTTGGGGTGACTGTCTCACGGGTCCGGGATTTCCTCTTGGGGTAGACATGCAGTCCTAGAAATGGGGAGTGGTGATGGTCGCACGATCTTCTCAACCTATTTAAAGTCCACGAATTGGATGGGCGTAGGGGCCACACCTGTAATCCCAGCACCGTGGGAGGCTGAGGCAGGAGGACCTCAAGTTCAACGCAAAACTGGGCAACTTAGTGAGACTCTGTCTCAAAAAAAAAAAAAAAAAATGGTGTGTGGGGTGGAAATGGGGCGGCTGGGGATGTGGCTCACTGGTAAAGGACCTCTGTGTTTACTCCCTAGTAGCCCAACCCCCAAAAATAATCCCTCTGTGGGAAACGCCACTGTGGGTTTAAGAGGAAACAGTAGCCCACGTGAGATGTTTTCTTGGTTGGTTTGTTTGGTTGGTCCAGGGGGTTAGACCCAGGGGTGCTTAACCACTGAGCCACATCCTCAGCCCTATTTTATACTTTATTAGAGACAGGGCCTCACTGAATCGCTGAGGCTGGCTTTGAACTCACCATTCACCTGCCTCAGCCTCCCCAGCTGCTGGGATTACAGGCGTACATCACGGCCACTGGCCCTTTTTGTTTTTTATTTTGGGTTGAGGTCTCACTAAGTTGCCCTGGCTGGCCTCAAACTTGCAATCCTCCTGCCTCAGCCTCCAGAATGGGAGGGATTACGGGGATGCGCGGTGCCGACTCCTGGAAGCTCTTGTGGCGCCTCCCCAGAAGAGGCCCAGCCAGGACTGAGATGACGCAATCCACCACAGGATGCCTGAGGTGAGGAAGACAGGAGGGGGGACCCAGAAGAGGGGCCAGTGTGTGAAGGGAGCCGGGAAGACAGAGCAGAAGTGAAGGCCCAGGACTTGTGGGGTTGCCTCACGGCCTCAGCTTCCCCTTTCTCAGAGCCACTCCCCTCTGTGAGCCGGGCAGGCAGGGGCCCGCAGGTGAGGAAGGCTGTCTCTGCAGCTCTCTCCTCTCTGAGATTGCAGTGGCCTGTCCTCGGGCCTGCAGACCGTCCGTGGTGGGCATGCTGGAACCGCCCGCTCTCCCGTGTGCCCCAGCAGCCAGGTCTCTTGCCCGTCCAGAGGGCCCCATGCTGCCAGCCACAGCCGGGGATGGCCTCTGCCGCCTGTCCACCTACCTGGAAGAACTCGAGGCTGTGGAACTGAAGAAGTTCAAGCTGTACCTGGGGACTACAGCGGAGCTGGGGGAGGACAAGATCCCCTGGGGACGCCTGGAGCCCGCTGGGCCCCTGGAAATGGCCCAGCTGCTCGTGACCCACTTGGGGACCAGGGAGGCCTGGCTGCTGACCCTCCGCATCTTTGATCGGATCCACAGGAAGGACCTGTGGGAGAGAGGACAGAGAGAGGACCTGGTGAGGGGTAAGCAGGTGGTAGGACTGTCACGGGGTCCCTCTTCTCCCACAGATACCTGAGCCTGGGGACATGGGGCCCCCACTCTGTCCCTTGGTTTTGTTCTTGTTGACTTCTGCCCTGGGCACACTCTACCTCCAGTGCCCGGAAAGTTCTTATTTATCCACCAGAACCTTGAGCCACAGGTCAAGTGTCTCTTAGCTGAAATGCTTGGGATGGGAAGTGTTTTGGACCTGGGATTATTTTGGATTTGGGAACATTGGCAAACACACAGTGATGTATGTTGGGATGGGACTGAAATCTGAGCGTGAAATCCACTGTGTTTCATGTACACCTCGGATGCAGAGCCTGGAGGGACGTCATACAGAATTTTTATTTGTCTACATGGTCACCCATGTTCAGGTGTGGAATTTTCTATCCGTGGCATCAAGTCAGCCCTAAAATCTTTGTATTTGTTGGTTTCTGAGTTTCAGATTTTCAGATGAGGGATGCTCAACCTAGGTTCTAGCTTCTCTACAAATTCTGTACTCCCTGCTCCTTCCGGTCCCTACCACTGACCGCCTGACTGCTCTAACAATCCTCTCCGCTGCTTCCTTGACATTCTCGATTTCTTGTATTCTGCTTCCATCTTATGAAATCGTCACAAGGGTGCCAACCCGTGTGGATTCCTTTCTATGCCCTGTGCATGGTATCCCAGGGCATGTTTAAAATGCTGGGTGAAACCGGGCATGGTGGTCTACAACTGTGCTCCCAGAGACTCCGGAGCGTGAGGGAGAAAGTCACAGATTCAAGGACAGCCTGGGCAACTCCGTGAGACCCTAAGCAACTCAGTGAGACCCTGTCTCAAATAAAAAAACAGAATGGGCTAGACATGGAGCTCAGAGGTAGAGCACCCTGTGCTCCATCCCAGTGCAGAAAAGAAATGCTAGGACCCTGTTACGAGGTGAGCAAGCTGAGGCCCAGGGGAAAATGTGACCTGCCCTCCGACACGGCCATGACACCCAGCACATGGAAAAGGTTCAGCATGGCAGGCAGCAAGGGCTCTCAGGCTCCAGCTATTGCTGGATGTGGCAGAGCTCTGTCTCCTCTCCCTCTGCTCAAGAACAGGGAGCAGCAGGCACAGTGGCACAGAACTACAACTTGGGAGTCTGAGGCAGGAGGAGCAAAGTTTGAGGACAATGTAAAGAATACTGGTCTCAAAATAAAAAAATAAAATAAAATAAAAAGGATTGGGGGTAGCTCAGTGGTACTCAGTGCCCTGACTTTAATCTCCACCCAAGTACCAAAAGGAAAAAAAAAAAAAAAGAAAGAAAGAAAAGAAGAAAAAATAAAGAACATCTTTTGTCATATATCTGACCCTTGCCACTCAGGTCTCATGTTCAATATCTCACCCCCTCTTCTGAGCACCCCTATTTACCCCATTTATGGAGAAATCTGTCACCCTACCTAGTATGAGATGGCTGCTCACGTGACACACAGCCCTGGATAGATGGGACCGACAACAGTTTATTAGTCACAAGCAGTGGTTCCTCCTTATCCACAGGGGACTCCATGCAAGCCCCAAATAGGTGCCTAAAACTGCACCTAGGACCAAACCCTGTTTTCCCCCTGAACACACATACCCATAATAAAGCTTAATGTATGAATCAAGCACAGTAAGATATGCACAACAACTAATAACAAAATAGAATGATTATAACAAGATTCTGCAATAAAATTCACAAAGCACATCCAAATTGCCAGAATTGCTACTCTCATGTTTAGGGGCCATTATCAAGTAAAATAAGGATTACTTGAACACAAGGACTGCAGTACTGCCACAGTGGATCCGAGATGTTTGCCAAAGGACTAGTGGGTAGATAGCATACACAGGGTGGATACGCTGGGCAAAGGGATGATTCACATCCCGGGTGGGACAGAGAGGATGGCCTCAGATTTCTTCATGCTAGTCAGGTGGGGGCGACTGAAAACTTATGAGTTGCTTATGTCTGGAAAACTCCAGTTAATGTTTTCAGGCCACTGTTGACTGTGGGCAACTGAAACCACCGAAAGTGAAATAGAGAAGGGGGACTCCTGTAGACTCAGAGCCTGGGGGGATAGGAACCCCACCCACCAGGAGAAGTCACAAAGAGTCATACAGTTACCTGGGGACTGAGTGGACCAGCAGGGGCAGGCTTTCTAGTTAGAGGGCAGTGCTGCCGGGTTCCCAAGAGAGAATGCAGTCGGCTTGTTTGAATGACTTCCTGGCCTGGCAGCGGTGGGGGGGGAATGCTGCTGGGCTGGTGACCAGGCAAGGTGCAGCTAGTCCAAAGGATAGGAGAACTGGCCCCTGGGAGCCTTGCCCACCCCCAGGGCCATCGGGAAGAGCCCTGGGGGCGGGCTCTTCATTAACTTCTGTCACTCATTATCTGGGGTCACGGTGGCTGTGTATTTTCTTGCACCCAGCTCCATAGCGCATTGGAATATAAGTTGGGGTGCGATGCAGTCTGTGAGGCGAGTCCCACACGCTCCAGGGGAGCGAAGCAGCTTGCAGATGTAACAGCAGCTAAGGTCACTTTTGTGCTTGCTGATCCCCCAAAATTTCTCTTCCAGTTACTCCACCGCGTGGTTCCTGCTCACTGGGAAGCCTGTCAGTGGGCCTTGTGGACGTCTGTCCCAACACTCCAAGAAAAGGTGAGCCACGCTCCAGGTACCCACTAGCTACGTGGAACCAGCCATCGTCGGGGCGCCAACGGCACCGCAGCCCCCACGTCTTCCTGTGCTGCAGTTCAGTCAGACCCTGTAAGACACACTTGTCATCTCATGGCTGAACAGTGGCTACCAAGGGATCTCACACCAGGGAATCACGAGCCAGGACAAAGGGGAGGGCCAGGTCTTTCATCCTCAAGAGGCTCAAGACTCTGTCACTTAGCAGATGTGATGGCGCAGGACTGTAATTCCAGGGACCCTGGAGGCTGAGACAGGAGGATTGCAAGCTCAAGACCAGCCTGGCCAACTCTGAGACCACATCTCAAAATACAATAAAATAGTAATCGTAGTAGTAATAACAACAATGATAAAAGAATCTGTCACTTTATCCAGAAATGCAGTCACTCCAGTAAGTTCTCTGGCTCTTAGCAGTCATGCTGGGCGGCTCACTGGTCAGGACTGGGGTCCATGTGCCTCCTCAGCTAGTCACGGGTGTACAAAGCAAGACTTCTCATGACGGGTTTGACAAAGCCACAGTTCACCCTCTGGGGCTTGTGAAGGGGCAACACTGACCGTTCACGAGGACAGTGGTCAACACCCACTGTGTGAGCAGTCTCCTGTTGGTGGGAAGGAAATGGGGCTGATGATGCTGGGATGTGGCTTGTGAAAGCACGTGCCCCAAAGCACAACCACTGGGCACAGGAGCCCACACCTGTAATCCCAGTGGCTCGACGGGTGAGACTCCAAAGCCCTGTTGCCAGTGGGGCTCCTGAAATACAAGCTAGAACACAGAAAGCTCTGTTTCCACAAACTGTGTCACCCAATGATCCCCTTGAGGACACTTCATCGCCCCAAAGACTGGGGATCCCGGAAGGGAGAGAGCGATGGCCTCAAGATAAGAGGGTGACTGAGTTCCTGTGGGAGAGCCCCCCCCACACACACCAGAAGGCAGCATTCTGTAGATGTTACATCAAGGGCGTGGGAAGGTCACAGAGGCACACGGACAGGGAAGATCTTTAATATTTTCCTTAGCCCTCCACCCCCAGAGACTTTCAGCAGAGGATTCCTGGAAGAGATAGCTCTCCTGCACTACAGACCTGCATCTGAGGGTTGCCAAAGGGGTGCAGATAAAGGAGCTCTGCTCCTCCAACCAGCCCCGGGTTTTGTTGGGATGCAGCCTCTGACTGAGCTGGTGGGCAGCCTCCAGCTAGCTCCCTGGAAATGCTGCTGCTCTGGGGACTGCCCTTGGAGTCGAAGGCACGGCGTGTATACTTACCCACCGTGTCTGGTAATGCCTCAGCTTCCCGTGACAAGGTGACAAGGACTTTATAAAGACCAGGAGTTTATTCGTTGCTGATGAGTCTCCCATTCCTCCCCTCTAGATCCCCGGGAAACCTACAGGGACTATGTCCGCAGGAAATTCCGGCTGATGGAGGACCGCAATGCGCGCCTGGGAGAGTGCGTCAACCTCAGCCGCAGGTACACCCGGCTGCTGCTCGGCAAGGATCACTCAAATCCCATGCGGGCCCAGCAGAAGCTTTTGGACACAGGCCGGGGACACCAGTCCAGCCCCATCCAGATAGAGACCCTCTTCGAGCCGGACGAGGAGCGCCCAGAACCACCGCGCACCGTGGTCTTGCAGGGGGCAGCAGGGATGGGCAAGTCCATGCTGGCGCACAAGCTGATGCTGGACTGGGCCGACGGGAGGCTCTTCCAAGACAGGTTTGATTATCTTTTCTACATCCACTGCCGGGAGATGAACCGGAGCGCTGCCGAGCGGAGCGTGAAGGAACTCATCTCCAGCTGCTGGCCAGAGGCCGGGGTGCCCCTGCGGGCGCTCGTCTGTGCCCCCGAGCGCCTCCTGCTCATCATCGACGGCTTCGATGAGCTCAAGCCTTCTTTCCATGATCCTCAGGGATCCTGGTGCGTCTGCTGGGAGGAGAGACGTCCAACCGAGCTGCTCCTGGGCAGCCTGATTCGGAAGAAGCTGCTGCCCGAGCTGTCCCTGCTCATCACCACGCGGCCCTCCGCCTTGGAGAAGCTCCACGGCTTGCTGGAACACCCCAGGCACGTGGAGATCCTGGGTTTCTCCGAGGCGGAAAGGAAGGAGTACTTCCACAAGTATTTCCGCAGTGCAGAGCAGGCCACCCAAGTCTTGAGCTTTGTGAGGGACAACGAGCCCCTCTTCACCATGTGCTTTGTTCCCATGGTGTGCTGGGTCGTTTGCACCTGCCTCAAGCAGCAGCTGGAGGGCGGGGGGCTCTTGAGACAGCCTTTCAGGACCACCACTGCCGTGTACACGCTCTACCTTCTCAGCCTAATGCAACCCAAACCAGGGACTCCGACCCTCAAATGCCCACTGAACCACAGGGGGCTGTGCTCTCTGGCGGCAGATGGCCTCTGGAATCAGAAAATCCTATTTGAGGAGCAGGACCTCCAGAAACACGGCCTGGACGGGGTAGATGTCTCTGCCTTCCTCAACGTGACCATCTTTCAGAAGGACATAGACTGTGAGAAGTTCTACAGCTTCATCCACCTGAGTTTCCAGGAATTCTTTGCTGCCATGCACTATATTCTGGAGGGTGGGGAGCGTGGGCCAGGCCCAGAGCAGACCATGACTCGGCTGTTGACCGAATACGGGTTCTCAGAAAGGAGTTTCTTGGCCCTCACCGTCCGCTTCCTGTTTGGGCTACTGAATGGGGAGATGAGAAGCTACTTGGAGAAGCATCTTTGCTGGAAGACCTTGCCTCACGTCAAGATGGAGCTGCTGGAGTGGATCCAAAGCAAAGCTCGGAGCGAGGGCTCCACCCTGCAGCAGGGCTCCCTGGAGTTCTTCAGCTGTCTGTATGAGATCCAGGAGGAGGAGTTTATCCAACAGGCCCTGAGCCCCTTCCAGGTGGTGGTGGTCGGCGACATTGCCACCAAGATGGAGCACATGGTCTGCTCCTTCTGTGCCAGGAGCTGCAGGAGTGTCCTGGTGCTGCACTTATATGGGGCTGCCTACAGTGCCGACCAAGAGGGCAGCTCCACGTGGCCTTCTGAAACCCAGGCACCGTCAGGGCCGACGTAAGTACCCCTCCGGCTGACCCTCCAAGTCCATGCCCTCATCTATTGGTTCTCTGTTAGGGGAAATTTGCAGCCTTATTGCCATCATTGCCATCCGGACGCAGGAGGCAATACCTGGGCAGCAGAGTGACTTTGCTGCCATCTAGTGGCTATAAGGCAGAGGTACAGCAGAACGTCCCACAATCTGCAGGGCAGTCCCAGGGTGATCTGGTCCCCAAATGCCCACAGTGCCAGAGCTGAGAGCCTGCTCTTGAACAGCAAGCACGGGAGCTAAACTGCGGTTATGTCATGGAGAACATTCAATCAAGATATCCTGTCAGGCACAGGGCGCTCACTTGTAATCCCAGGGACTCGGGAGACTGAGGAAGGAGGATCACAAGTTCAAGAGCAGCCTGGACGGTTTAGTGAGAGCCTGTCTCCAAATAACACAGGAAGGGCTGGGAGTGTAGCTGAGTGGTAGAGCACTTGCCTACCACGTGCAAGGCCTTGGGTTCCTACCCAACATCACAAAAATAGAAAAGAAAGAAGTAGGCAAACAGGCAACAAGCTTGTCAAAGATTAAGAGTTTCAGAGAGGTCACTGCTGTGAGGAACATCCAGCAGGATGATGGGACGGCAGTGATGTGGGGTGGGGGACACCGGAGCTGGCCATCAAGGTGGGAGGTGCTGAGGAAGTGGTGAGTAACCTTACTCACCACTCAAAGAACAGACTTTGTTCTGTGTGATTCCAGCTACCCAAGAGGCTGAGGCAGGAGGTTGGCAAGTTGGAGGCCAGCCTCAGCAACTTAGTGAGACCCTCTCTCAAAATAAAAAGGGCTGGGATATGGCTCAGTGGTTAAGTGCCCCTGGGTTCCATTCACATTTGGGGAGTTGTGGGGGGGGGGAGACTGTTTTGGTCTGAATGGTTAATTGGTAAATGGTCTTGGGAAAATGAACATGAGTGGAGACAGGCTGGGCGTGACTGAGTGTGGGGCACTTGCCTGGCATGCATGAGGCCCTGGGCTCCATCCCTAGCACCTCAAAAGAGAGGGAGAAAGGAGAGGAGAGTGGAAGGGAAAGCAGCAGCAAAGGAGCATCCAGCTCTTCGTCTGCCCCCACAGGCAGGGAGCCAGCCCCTGTCAGTCCTGGATGAGAACCAGGGTCCCCTGTCAGTCACTGGATGAGATCCAGGGGTCTCCTGTCAGTCACTGGATGAGAACCAGTGTGGGTACACCTCCACCCTCCCAGGCAGCCTGAAGACTGGGTGAAGCCATGAACTATCTCAGTGGGGATGAGCTGGAGACAGCTATAGACAAGTTGAGGAGGGAGGGTTTGCAGGAGCAGGAGGAGCCACCCCTGGCTGCAGGTGAGGGTTGGTGTGCCCACAGCCTCTGGACTTGGGGCTCATTCCAGCAACCAGACTCTGCCTCCCTCCTGGAACCGCAGTTGGAACTCGACCCCTCATTTGTAAGAAAGGACATAAATGTGCATCATGGTTTTTCTTCTTTCTTTCTTTTCTTTCCAGGGTTGCAAGCCAGGACCTTAGATTACTGTGCAGGTGGAATGCCCATAACCAAAATGCTTGGGACCAGAAATGTTTCAAATTTCACATTTTTAAGACTTTAATATACTTGCAAATAGGGCTGGTGATATAGCTCAGTTGGTAGAGTGCTTGCCTCACATGCACAAGGCCCTGGGGTCAATCCCTAGCACCACACACACACACAAATCCAAATACATAATGAGGTAGCTCAAAGGTGGGGTCCAAGTCTAAGCACAAACTTCCCGTGTGCATCACCTGCACCTTATAGACGTAGCCAGAAGATTCCCCACACTTTTTTCTTGGTTGCTCAGTGCTGGTGAAGGAGCCCAGGGCCTCACGTGGGTCAGGTTGGCCTTCCTCACCCCTGACTGTGCCCAGCCCTGCACTGTACTTTCTCACCATCAGAAGCCTCTCAGTAAAGCTCAGGGTCACTCTCAGGAAGCCCCTGGGATCTTTTTTCTGTTTTTATTGGAGCGTTGTAGTTGACATAATGATGGAATTCCTTGTCACACATTTGTACATGCACACAACCTAACAATAGCAATTTGGCCAATATCCCTCCCCAGCACTCCCCTCTCCTCTCACCCCTGCTGCATTTCCTCCACTCACCACCCTTAGAGTCTCATGAGATGCCCACCTCGCTTTCTATCCCTTTCCCTCCCCAGCTTCCACATGACTGAAAACACGTGACCCTTGACTTTCTGAGTTTGACTTATTTTGCTACCATAATG